GACCTGGCTATGTGCTGAGCCCAACTGCTCTGCTGCGGCACAGAACAACCTCCGACCAAATCTCTGAACAAATGCAGCTTCTCTGCAGCCCGCGGAAAAACGAAAGCAGCAGAGTTGGAATGCACGCAACCGAGAGGAAAACGACCAATGAAAACCTGTTGTCAACCTGCTCCAGCCTCTGTCCTCGCTTCTTCTTCCCCAAGGAAAAGACAGCATTTGTAAGGGAGGAAAAAAAAACCCAACAACACAGCACCAAACCAAGATGGAGAAGCAGACATAGCCACCTGGGATGCAGTTCATCGGCAGGAGCTCTACCCTCTCTGCTGCGGCCCACGAGCGGCAGGGATGGGGGTGAGGATGGTCCCAGCCGGCGTTTGCTGGAGCTTACTCCCCAGCCTCCTGCATTGTGCAAAACGGGGAGGCTCCCGCTGTGCTCCCCAGCTGGCCCAGCTCCCTGGGCGGTGCTGCCATCTCCTCCTGCGCCCGGGGCCGCCGCGCCCGCCCTGACGCACACATGCACGCAGGTGGGGCTGCGGCCGCCCTCGGATGGGGCTCACGACCCCAGCGCCTGCTTGGTGTTGGGGCCGGGAGCTGAGCAGCAGAGCCCGTTCTGGCCCACCTGCTTGGCTTTGCCTGGCAGCTCCTTTGTCTCCAAACCACAGTCTTTCCCCCCAGGAAAGTGCATCAGGCTGTGGTGGGGCCAGCACCGTTTCATCCAATGCAACGGCACTGAGCTCTGCCAGGAGCCCCAAAAAGGCTCCTTTCTGCTTTCCTCTCCCTAACCAAGGGAGGGAGAAAATCTGAGTGGGAAACAAAGGAAGCGAAAAGAAACCTTTCTGAGAGGCCCCCCAGTGCTGGAGAAAGGGACTGGGCTGGCCTCTGCAGCTGCCAGGATGATCTGGTAGGGCTCCCCACAACATCAGAGATCCGGCTTCCCAGTGCTAAGGAAAATCAGGCAAATGGAGCAGTCCATCTCTCTTTTCAGGCAGCAGAGAAGATGCTGGAAGGAATTTCCAACAAAACCCATGCAGAAATCCCCAAACTTTTATTATGGCTCAAGTCCTCTTTGAAAGTCTAGGCTCAAACCACACTGCTACATGGGCACAAAGCATCAGGAGCCCACCTTTGTCTCCCTCAGACCTCCACAGCAGGAGCCCAAGCTTCCCTCTCTTCCTCCCTCCCTCACAGGGATCTGCAGCCCAGTAGCAAGCATGAGGGGATGATTTCCTGCTGTGCACTGTGTTTTCCCCAAGGCCACACTTTGGAAGATGCCATGGAACAAGAGGAGCTGACATCGCTCAAGCTTCAGCTTTGTCTCCAGACGGCTCTTCTGTTTAGTGCCAAGAGAAATGAAAAACAATGCAAGCCATGCAGTCTCAGGGTCAGCCATTGCAAAACTGTTAATCTTGGGGCAGCATCGCTCAGACTCTGTCATTTATATTTGCCACTGTATTTGCCAGAAGCACAACAAAGCAGTCTTTTCCTTTCGGTTGAATTTCTTTTATTACCTCAAGACCCTTGAAATATGGATACACAAACCAACAACCTCTCTATCTGCATCAGCAGAGAGAAGAGACAGAGGGAGCAAAGTTTCACATCCACAGTCCAAGGACTGTTCCTTGGATTTGCAGCAGAATTGATGGAGAAATCAGTGCCTTTCAGATGGGCTCAACCAGGAGTCAAACAGCACTTTTAATCTGTTTTTGTTTTTTGTTTTTTTGTTTGTTTGTTTGTTTAATTTTTTTGTTTTTGTTTTTGTTTTTGTTTTTTACAAACTACCTTCAGTCGAGACAGGGTTCTTGTAGCAAATTTTATTCTAACTTTTTCACAACCTCCTTCCACCTTCCCTAACAAAGACCTCATACCACTACCTTAAAAATTAAATCATGCTCTCTGGGCATCCCATAAAAATTTTCCTCTCCCTTACTCCTTCAATGAAGGCTTTTTCAACAGTAAAAAAAAAAAAAAAAAAAAAAAAAAAAAAAAAATGGAAATCAGAGAGAAAAAAAGAAAAAACTTATAAGATAAAATCGGAAAAGGATAGGAAAAAGTCTAAGTTCTTCCTCTTTGTTATGATTTAAAAAAGAAATTCAAGAAAAAAAAATCAGTGTAGCAAAGGGAGTCTCAAACATAAAACAAAACTACAAAATAATCCAGAGAATATACTTGATTATTTCCTTGCTCATTTCCATGGCTATGAAGCTGCAGTCTTTATTTGTGTAGGAAGGAAGGAAAATATTTGAAGAAAGAAATTGATAGAAATAAGATACACAAAAGGTGTCTAAGGGAAGGAAAACTGCCCTTTTCCTTCTTTTGGACCCAGTATGGTCTCTCCTTGGAGGGCAAGGCTCTGTAGTCTTCTACACTTTTCTTGTTCTTACAGGTAAAAGGCTTGACTGCCCCAACAAGAAGACACCTTGCCTAGTAACTCGCAGCAATGTAACCACAGCAAAACAACAGTAGTGAGCACAAAGGGGGCTATCAACTGTGCATAAAGCAAAAATCACAGCCAAAATGTAACAGGTCACCAAAGCAGTGGCCATCTGCAGAGCTCCATCATGTCCAAGTGGGGATGAAAACACACTGGCTCCATGTTCCTTTGCCTTCCACTGCAGCACATGGTTTGGGTATTGCCATCACCCAGCTCCTGCATATAGACCATGTCTGTCCAGGCTGCTATGGCTCCACTGCACTACGTATGACCTGTCAGCCAGTCCCACGCGCACTTTCTCCTTTAGCAAAGTGACCTGGCCCTTAATTCTCCAAGCTCGGATCATGCCGTTATCTCAAGAGATCATGGCGGCATCACTGACAAGCAGACTGCTGATACCCAGTAGCCACTGCAGCAGCGTCAGCTTTCTACAACAGACCTGATGGGAGGAAGCCATCAAAGCCCGCAAGCTGCACAAGGCAACCGAGGGCACTCAGCACCTGGCAAGCAGAGTCACTACAGCTTGGCTGAATCAAGCCAGTAATAAGCAAGCATGATCACAACATCTTCATAAATATAGGATTTAAGTGCAAACATCTGCCTTGCTGTTTTTTAATTAAGACAGTTTACATCTACTCCTTTCAGTGATCCACAGCTCCAGCAGCAGAAATGCCATGCATATTCTAATTAAGGCAGCTAGTTTATTTAACAGTTTGACATTGTTTTACATTAGCTGAGTCACCTTGTTGCTGGATAAAGCAGCAAATGTTTTTCAGCAGTTCAACAAGAAAAAGGCAGAGATTCTGTATCAAAAGTAGAACGTGTATCACAGATACACAGATACAAATTGAATACAGCTGAAGTCTATTCTACTCCAGCAGCTCCTCTCTTTGGGACACTAAGTCAACCCAAATGTTTCCCAGATATAACTCTTCCTCTCAAGGACACACATCTCTCTCATGTTCTTGTAGGGTGGGAAGGGTGGGAAGTGTTATAACAGACATATGGGATGTATCTCATTCTCCACAAAAATCACCCACCCATATATCAGGACATACATCACTAAGAACTGCACGCAGGCTGAGCATCTGTGCCCTGGATTCAGCCAACATTTTTCTGGGACAAAGTAAAAGAAATTGGCCAGTGACAGTCAATGCAGAAGAAAAAAAATGTTACCCACAGACAGATTTTCCTACAGCACCTCACCTAACGTCATTTGCACATCTATATAGTGCTTTTCATGGATCTCAAACTGATTTGCAGCAGGGAAGGCAAGCAGGCAGTTCCCATTCTCATTGTATAGGGATTTCACAAAGTGGTTCATCTATGAGTTTGTTGATGGCTCAAGTGGAAACAGAGGCTGATCTTGGACTCCTCTCATTCCACATTAGAAATAAAGGGCAACACCACCTCCCCCTGGCTGCATAGGGTCTGCAGTATAGAGAGCTGTATAGAGCAAATCTGATCCCTGGGGCCATCTTCTAGAAGGCCCATGTAGGCTGCCAGGCTGCCATACTGCCCTACTGTGGCTTCAATGCTTGCACTGCTAGCTTACAGTTCCCTGCTAGCTCTGGAGCTGTGCTAACCACATAACAGCAGCAGATTCTCTGCCTGAAACAGTGTCACAGACCACAGCATGCTCCCAGTGAGGACTAAGCTCTCCCATCACAACTTCTTTTTCGGGGAAGAGCTGGGATCTCCTTTTTATAGTTAAAGGCAGAACAGACCTTTTAACAGGCTGAAATTACTCTATTTATCCTAACACTCAGCGCAGTGAGCCAGACTTTAAGCCAACAGCTAGAATCGTGCAGTCAAACAATAGAGAGCTGGCCTGAGTCTGAATTTCCAAGAGCACGCTGCGGTCTGGCTCATCTCTACCATGCCAGCGCTGCCATCGCTGCTGGAAGCGTGTGTGCTTCCCCTGAGGAGAGGGCATCTATCATGTCCAGCCCCTCTCTGAAAGCTGCCAGGGAGATAGTAGCTCAGGCCAAAGAGATACTTATTTTTGGCCAGCATTGCAGTAATCCCCTTTGCATTTAGTCTTCTCACAGTTTTGGTCTTTTTAATATCTCAGTGGCAACTCTAACTATTCATCCTTTATTATACAGTAACATCGTATGCAGAGCTGTGACACACAGAAATGAAGACAACGGTGTCTTTGGTTTCCAGTGGCCTCCTTGTTTCAGGCTGTGAAGTTGTAGCCCGTGGGCACAGTCCCATAGAAGCCACCAAAACCCTTTGTGCAAGAGGGCATGAGCCAGCCTGAACCTGAACAGCAGATATATAAGACCCCCCTGGGAGCCCTACTGACCATGCCAGTTATGTAGGAGGAAGAGGAGGCCTGGTATCACAGGGCAGCATTACAAGTTCCCAGGGAAAAGGTATTTGTAGGACCCAGTCACAAAAAGTACTGAAGACCATGGCTGGGGAATTGCAAGTCCCAATTCATGGCTTAGGTTGGGAGGGACCTTAAAGATCATCGAGCTCCAACTTCTTGCCATGGGCTGGGTTACCAAACTGGATCAGGCACTCTCATTCATCTTGCTTAGGGCCTTAGCCATGATGTTACCTGGTAGAAAAGGGATGATTCTTTGTTTGGGGTCTTTCTGTCCTCCTTCAATGGGAAACTTGTCCAGAAGCTGCATCTGCAAAGGAAACAGAACAAATGTCTTAGGGGGAAGGTACAGACTGGCCACTTAGCGATGGAGGATTTCTTGGTCTGTGTGTGGTTTGAAAGGATTAGCAAAGCAAAGCAACTGCAGGAATCCCTCAGCCCAGTTGCAGGGGAGTATGTACATAAAAAGGTACGATATAGCTGCCTCCAAGAAAGGGAGGGCAGGTTTCTGGCAGCGCACAGAAGCTGGGATGGGGCCCAGGCAGACATCTGAGCCTGGCCTTGCCGTGCTTCTAAAATTAGGCTCTCATCCTTCATTACAAACACACGCCTCATCTCTAATCCTCAGTCTGCCCAGGTTGGTGGAGACAGTTTTTTACCTGTCCCCATGACAGACCACCCGCCTGGCTAAAAATGCTGCTCAGGCAACAAGGATTAAAGGCTTTTTAATAAAACAACCTATCCGTCTTCTTGCTGGTAAGGCACTGCCCACTACCCTGGTCCATTCAGAGCATTCCAGCTTTCCCATGGAGAAACAGATTGGTGTCAAGCACCCTTGAAGACATGGTTATGGACCACCCAAGCCAGCATTTCACCCAGCTCAGTTTGGCCCTGCCAACTCCCAAATGCTGTCCACCACAACCACTTGCTTCTAACACACCCCTAAGGGTCGACTGAGAACAGAGCCCTATTGGAGATAACCAGACTCTAGTTTGAGAAGCTCAAAGAAGCATTGATGGCCACAGCCAACTTACATGCTGGAGATACCACACCACCTGTGCCTAGGCAAGCAGTACACTGACCCCATGTTCCTAAATGACCCTCTTGATCTCTGGACACTTCATTCAGCATTTAACTAAAGCATCACTACGTGTCCAGCAGTGAGGGTCTGCAAGTTAAACAACCCTTTTGCTCAACACATTTCCTTTAAAAAATATTTTTTTGCTAACACAGGAAAAAAAAAAGATTTTTTTTTTTTTTTACTGTTTTTGTTTTAAGCACACAGAACCCTTCTTCTCTTCCACTGCACACAACATCTCCACCATTTTCACCATATGGTGCAGCAAACCAGAGATCAAGAGGAAACATGGGAGTAGAAGGAACATCTGTGCAGGAGAAAAAGTTAAAAGATCCCACATGTTTCCCCATCAGGGAATCAGCCTGGTAAATAAACAGACCGTAGCTTTGCGGATTGTTAGCTCACTCACTTTTCTGCCTACGGAGACATGATTTTTATTGAAAATGGGAAATTTTGTTTTCTTGTAGATGGAGCTCCGGGTGTCTGAGGTCAGGAGTTCTGTTCAAAGAGAAGAAAAGGGAGGGGGGAAATCTCCACTGACTGACTTGAAGCTTCACCGCTCCTGCACTTTCAGCCAGGAAAGAGATTCTCACTTTACTACACAGAGACTGATTCAAGCTGGAACCGATACAGTCAAATTCCCTTGGTTGTTCCTGAAGTTAGATTAGCTTGGCTCATACAAGCCTTGTTAACCACATCAAGAGAGTCACAACATGTGTAACTTAGTGCTATTTATCTAAAGGGTGGATATCAGCAAAATAGATGCAATAAACTGCAGCTGGTAGAGTCTAGATAAACTTTCCAAGACTTTCTTGCTCCAGCTCTTGCTTCTACTGGGAAGGTGTGGATGGCAGAGAGCTGGGAGTGCCAGAGGTGCTCAAGAGGTCACCAGTACAAGTCACAGGGACATGACCTGCCCCAAAGGTAAAGTCCTCTAGAAGCATGGCAGATTTCTTATCTTCTTTCATATATGAGACAGTGTCCCAATGGGCAATACACACTTCTGTGCGAAACCAAAGACAAGAGTGAAGCTGCATGGCTGGGCACCCTTGGAGGAGAGTGACAGTCCCTTTCCAAGTTTCTGACCCCAGACAACATGTGCTGCTGGCCTGTCGCTCCTGGACCAGTCAGCTGGGTCAGGCATTTGCAACACCCCACCAAGAGTGATAGGCCTGTGCTGGAGGGTCAGGATTAAACTGTCTGTCATGACACAGGGAACTTAACTGAGATCCTTCAAAGGACCTGAGAAAGGATATCACAGCAGTCCAGCAATTATGTACCTGCCTCTATCCCCAGCTATTCTCATTAATGCCTACAAATCATTCCAAACACGTCTATGTCTGTATAAACAACCAGTAGTGACAAGGAAAAACTGCAACACAGACTGGAAGTATAATGGCTTCCCAACAGTTTCTACAATGCAGGAAACCCTTCAGGATACCAAATCCCAACAAAAAGCTGAAGAAGCATGGGGCCTTCTTCAGCACTTCCATGCACGCAGTTCTGCTATTCACGACCAATACAAGATCTAATTCTGGAAAAGCAGGATTTTGTGCCCTTTCACCCGTGGCAAGGGTGCAGAGCAGAAGAAAACAAAAAGATGGACCTAGGGGGAAAAAAATCAGCAACAGGCCTCAATGAAACAGCCCAAATCACAGAATCGTTTGAGTGGAAAGGGACCCTTAAAGGTCATCTAGACCAACTCCCCTGCAATTAACATGACTGAGCCACAGAAACTCCTGATAGCTCCACTTACCCCATCTGGATGACTAACAACCAAAGACCAATAAACAGATTGGAAATCCACTTAGTTTGATGCATGCAGAGCATCTGAAAGTTGAAAACTCTTCGTGAACAAATGGTTTCCCATGAAATTATTATTATTATTATTGTAAATATAAACGTGATTAACAAAACCTCATACCCTTCACTTAATCATAGAATCATTTGAGTTGGAAGAGACCCTTAAAGGCCATCTGGTCCAGCTCCCCTGCAGTGAACAGGGACACCTGCAGCTCCATCAGGTGCTCAGAGCCCCATCCAGCCTGACTTTGGGTGTCTCCAGGGATGGGCATTCACCACCATTCTGGGCAGTCTGTACCAGTGCCTCACCACCCTTATTGGAAAACGCTTCTTCCTTATATATAACCTAAAGCTCCTTCACTTAATGTCCCAGATTATTCTGCTCAGGCACAGGCAATCTCCACTAAATGTCACTTGCATGTTTGATACGCAACATTTAACTTAGGATACAGGATTCACTGTGTGAAGCCAAGAAAGTTACCTGTCCCTCAGACTAAAATCAACAGACAGTGAAGGGAAAAAGGGCAGTCTGGATGTGGAGGCTTCCCAAAGGATGCAGCAGTTAGGGCTGTAGCTGGCTTTGGGCAGACAAGAAAACACAAATGGGCAATGCAGGAAACCTGTGTGAGCTTATACTCAGTTTACTTACAAGTATTAGTATACAAACTCTACCATGAGGGAGCCTCCAACCGTATGACCAATGTGATGAGCAGAAAGAAATCTGTTAGCACATCCCTGTGTCACAGGGTGGGGGATCCGTTTGGAAACAGGGAGGGTATATGGAAAGCGGGAAATGAGCTTCCCACCCATTCAGGCAGCATGTCTGGAGTCAGGCTGAACAAACACACCCCATTCCTGCTTCTGGCACAACAGATGTGTGTCCACGAATAATTCATCACCAAAACCACGTCCCCACGCTTTCTGTCCCCAGATTACTTCAGGTTTGCCAACAGCTTTCCTAAGTTAGTTCTCTACTGAGTCTTGCCTTGTGCTCTGAGCAGCTCTGTTCTTGCTTCTGCTCTGAACTTTTAGTAGATCATCCGTAAAGCTTATTGTCCAGACTATTACTTTCTTACAGTAAATGCAATTAATGATGTTAAAAATCAAGGGAATCACTTGTGTGAGTTGCTACTCACTGTAATGAGAGCACTGCCCTACCTCACTCCTTACTACTTGCACAGAACCGTGAAATCATTTGACTTGAAAGAAAGGAAGAGGAAAAAGATTTCAGTGATTTCAACTTGCACAAGAACTGGCCTTTTTGTGCAAGTCCCAGCTCCTGGAAGTCAGCAATTGTTTGAGAATCATTGTTCATTGTGAAAAACAACCAAAACCAACCAGCTTTTACACTGCCAAGCATAAATTTGAAAACGTCATCCAAATTCATCCTTGAAGGCCCAGAAACTGAAAGACAGCAAACACATTCTCCACACTTTTGGCATAAATATAGGTTGCACTGGAATATGCCTCACACATTTTATTTGTATGGGAAATGAGAGAAATGCAGCCAGTGTCCTAACTCACAGCTAAGCTTCAGAAGATTCTACCTCAGGATCACCTTTGCCAAAGAAGGTGAACATGCAGCGAAGAAGGAGATGCTTCTGCCAACAAGAATTTTATTTGGCCCAGCAGTCAGCAGCTGATAGCATCTGTGATCACCTCCCATCACTTCTCTTGTGAAAATTAGATTCGATTCAGCTCCCTGTCTGCCTCATGGTGGTACCACCTGATTAGAAATCTAACAAAACAAAAAAACAAAACACCCTTTGAGATGCTAAAAGTAAGATCTCTGAGGATGAGAAGCCAAGCAACTTCCTGCCAATTATTTACCTTGATTAAACTTTCACAGAATAACATTTCCTTCCCTTTTAGATACAAGGACTAGAAGCACCTGAGTCTAAGGGGTGATGTCTCTCCTACAAGAGATCCAATTTTCACTCTGTTGTAAGCCAGCCAGGACATGAAAATACCAACTGTTTAATGGCCTGATCCTGTAACATTTGCCAGTGGGACTTTTGTTCCTGATTTGATTATGAGGTTTCGGAAGTGTGTGACTAAATTCACCTCCCTGAAGCTAATCCATTAGGACAGTTACCTGATCTCCATACACACCATACACTATGGACTCAAGCTGGAGTTTCCTGCTGGGCTGTTAATTCCTCTCCTTCCTTCCCTGCAGCAGTTTTTACTCTCCTTCAGTTAAAAGACTGAAGTTCTCCACACCTCTTAACATGAGCAAATTGGGACACCCACATAATCTCTTATCAGAACACATCTTTTGCTGATTCCTTTCAAGTGGATGTAGCACTGCCTTGTGCACAGATAAAAATCAAAGTCCTCCAGGAGGTCAGTGCTGCAATCACAGGAGATTTACTTTAACGCAGAGCGACCCCGAGAACGACTTTCATCCAAATCCATTACTTTGGCAA